TGTATCACAGACTCGCTCACTTGCTCACAAGACCTGGAGCGATGCAGAACTGCGCGCTGCGCTGTGCACGCCCTGCGTGCCGGAACACTCTCCGCTAACACGGCCAGCAAGGCTTAGGGTCAGCGCTCACCTTGTATCACAGACTCGCTCACTTGCTCACAAGACCTGGAGCGATGCAGAACTGCGCGCTGCGCTGTGCACGCCCTGCGTGCCGGAACACTCTCCGCTAACACGGCCAGCAAGGCTTACGGTCAGCGTTCACCTTGTCTCACTAACATGCTCACTTGCTCACAAGACCTGGGGCGATGCAGACCTGCACGCTGCGCTGTGCACGCCCTGCGTGCCGGAACACTCTCCGCTAACACGGCCAGCAAGGCTTAGGGTCAGCGCTCACCTTGTATCACAGACTCGCTCACTTGCTCACAAGACCTGGAGCGATGCAGAACTGCGCGCTGCGCTGTGCACGCCCTGCGTGCCGGAACACTCTACGCTAACACGGCCAGCAAGGCTTAGGGTCAGCGCTCACCTTGTATCACAGACTCGCTCACTTGCTCACAAGACCTGGAGCGATGCAGAACTGCGCGCTGCGCTGTGCACGCCCTGCGTGCCGGAACACTCTCCGCTAACACGGCCAGCAAGGCTTATGGTCAGCGCTCACCTTGTCTCACTAACATGCTCACTTGCTCACAAGACCTGGAGCGATGCAGACCTGCACGCTGCGCTGTGCACGCCCTGCGTGCCGTAACACTCTCCGCTAACACGGCCAGCAATGCTTACGGTCAGCGCTCACCTTGTATCACAGACTCGCTCACTTGCTCACAAGACCTGGAGCGATGCAGAACTGCGCGCTGCGCTGTGCACGCCCTGCGTGCCGGAACACTCTCCGCTAACACGGCCAAAAAGGCTTACGGTCAGCGCTCACCTTGTCTCACTAACATGCTCACTTGCTCACAAGACCTGGAGCGATGCAGACCTGCACGCTGCGCTGTGCACGCCCTGCGTGCCGGAACACTCTCCGCTAACACGGCCAGCAAGGCTTACGGTCAGCGCTCATCTTGTCTCACTAACATGCTCACTTGCTCACAAGACCTGGGGCGATGCAGACCTGCACGCTGCGCTGTGCACGCCCTGCGTGCCGGAACACTCTCCGCTAACACGGCCAGCAAGGCTTACGGTCAGCGCTCACCTTGTCTCACTAACATGCTCACTTGCTCACAAGACCTGGGGCGATGCAGACCTGCACGCTGCGCTGTGCACGCCCTGCGTGCCGGAACACTCTCCGCTAACACGGGCAGCAAGGCTTAGGGTCAGCGCTCACCTTGTCTCACTAACATGCTCACTTGCTCACAAGACCTGGGGCGATGCAGACCTGCACGCTGCGCTGTGCACGCCCTGCGTGCCCGAACACTCTCCGCTAACACGGCCAGCAAGGCTTACGGTCAGTGCTCACCTTGTCTCACTAACATGCTCACTTGCTCACAAGACCTGGAGCGATGCAGACCTGCACGCTGCGCTGTGCACGCCCTGCGTGCCGGAACACTCTTCGCTAACACGGCCAGCAAGGCTTACGGCCAGCGCTCACCTTGTCTCACTTACATGCTCACTTGCTCACAAGACCTGGAGCGATGCAGACCTGTGCGCTGCGCTGTACGCCTTGCGTGCCGGAACACTCTCTGCTAACAAGGCCAGCAAGGCTTACACGGTCAGCGCTCACCTTGTATCACAGACTCCCTCACTTGCTCACAAGACCTGGAGCGATGCAGACCTGTGCGCTGCGCTGTACACGCCCTGCATGCCGGAACACTCTCTGCTAACAAGGACAGCAAGGCTTACGGTCAGCGCTTACCTTGTTTCACAGACCCCCTCACTTGCTCACAAGACCTGGAGCGATGCAGAACTGCGCGCTGCGCTGTGCACGCCCTGCTTGCCGGAACACTTTCTGCTAACACGGCCAGCAAGGCTTACGTTCAGCGCTCACCTTGTCTCACTTATTCGTTCACTTGCTCACAAGACCTGGAGCGATGCTGACCTGCGCGCTGCGCTGTGCACATCCTGCGTGCCGGAACACTCTCCGTTAACACGGCCAGCAAGGCTTACGGTCAGCGCTCATCTTGTCTCACTAACATGCTCACTTACTTACAAGACCTGGAGCGATGCAGACCTGCGCGCTGCGCTGTGCACGCCCTGCGTGCCGGAACACTCTCTGATAACACGGCCAGCAAGGCCTACGGTCAGAGCTCATCTTGTCTCACTAACATGCTCACTTACTTACAAGACCTGGAGCGATGCAGACCTGCGCGCTGCGCTGTACACGCCCTGCATGCCGGAACACTCTCTGCTAACAAGGCCAGCAAGGTTACGGTCAGCGCTCACCTTGTTTCACAGACTCCCTCACTTGCTCACAAGACCTGGAGCGATGCAGAACTGCGCGCTGCGCTGTGCACGCCCTGCGTGCCGGAACACTTTCTGCTAACACGGCCAGCAAGGCTTAGGGTCAGCGCTCACCTTGTCTCACTTACTCGTTCACTTGCTCACAAGACCTGGAGCGATGCTGACCTGCGCGCTGCGCTGTGCACGCCCTGCGTGCCGGAACACTCTCCGCTAACACGGCCAGCAAGGCTTACGGTCAGCGCTCACCTTGTCTCACTAACTCGCTCACTTGCTCACAAGACCTGGAGCGATGCAGACCTGCGCGCTGCGCTGTGCACGCCTTGCGTGCCTGAACACTCTCCGCTAACACGGCCAGCAAGGCTTACGGTCAGCGCTTACCTTGTCTCACTTACACGCTCACTTGCTCACAAGACCTGGAGCGATGCTGACCTGCGCGCTGCGCTGTGCACGCCCTGCGTGCCGGAACACTCTCTGCTAAACAAGGCCAGCAAGGCTTACGGTCAGCGCTCACCTTGTATCACAGACTCGCTCACTTGCTCACAAGACCTGGAGCGATGCAGAACTGCGCGCTGCGCTGTGCACGCCCTGCGTGCCGGAACACTCTCTGCTAAACAAGGCCAGCAAGGCTTACGGTCAGCGCTCACCTTGTATCACAGACTCGCTCACTTGCTCACAAGACCTGGAGCGATGCAGAACTGCGCGCTGCGCTGTGCACGCCCTGCGTGCCGGAACACTCTCAGCTAACAAGGCCCGCAAGGCTTTTGATCAGTGCTTACTCCATCACTCACATGCTCACCCGCTTACTCACTTATTTATTTACTTGTTCAGCCATACTTCAACCCATACCCTGCTGGCTGTCTAGATATATACAATTCTTTGGTAACATCAAAGTTATTATATTCAAGCATACGAGGGTGCGTTTTTAAGTTCGCGGAATGGGTAGGTAGGTAATAAGTGGGGACGGCATTGAATTACGTGCTAATTGAGCAACTCATTATCAGTGTAAATACCGGCTTTTATTGTCATTAGATCATTAGTCTTTGAGTTATCGTCAACCAAACTAGTCAATCGTGAAGAAATTGTGAAATATGGAGTAAATTGAATTCCATGCCTTTATAAAGTTCCTTACCAAGCGCGGAAAATCAGTTCAGACTATACTGGAAGAGATGTCATCCATTTACGGAGACTCTTGTCCAAGTAAAACTATGGTTTACAAGTGGCATACCCTTCCTACATTTTAAATAAGGCAGAGAGTCACTTGAAGACGTCCCACGGCCAGTAAGGCCGATCGAGGTGACTAATTCGAAAATTATTCGAAAAGTCGCAAAATTAATATTAGAAAATGCCCGCCTAAAGAAAAAACAGCTCGCAGAAATGGTTGGAGTATCAGATACAACCATTTTGAGAATTCTTCAGGACCATCTTGGCATGACTAAAGTCAGCGCAAGATGGGTGCGTAGAATGCTCACGCCGCCTCAAAAGTAACAGCTCGTGGAGTGTTCTCGTGCATTTTCGGACCTCTGTATGGTAGACAAAGATGGATTATTGGCTCGAATTGTTACCGGTGATGAATCTTGGGTTCACCATTATAAACCTGAGTCCAAACAGGACTGTTTGCAGTGGCACAAAAGAGGCACATCACCACCCAAGAAATTTAAGGTGGCACAATCGTCTGGGAAAATCATGGCGACAGTGTTTTGGGACTCAGAAGGAATCCTATTGATTAATTATAAAGATAAAAGTGTCTCCATAACTGGAAATTACTACGCTTCAATCCTAGAACAATTGAAGGAAGCCATAAAGGAGAAAAGAAGAGGACAATTGACCAAAGGAATCCTTCTTCTCCACGACAACGCGCCTGTTCACAAGTACCACGTTGCGATGGCTGCCCTGCAAAAGGTGGGCTTCGAAATTTAGCCACACCCAACCTATACTCCTCACCTGGTCCCCAGTGATTATTATCTATTTCTAAACTTAAAAAAAGAACTTCGTGAGAAAAAGTTTTTAATTGATGAAGAAGTGAAGGAAGCAGTTTCGGCGTATTTTTTAGACAAAGACAAAAAATTTTTTGAGGGTATACATAAGTTAATTGAAAGATCCGAAAAATGTATTAGGGTAGCAGGTGAATACATTGAAAAGGAAAAATAAATTTGAATTTTTACGTCTACCCCCAGATTAAAATTATTAATTTTTGTTCCTATTTACGCAATATGAACTTACTGTATCTTGAAGTCTTGCAGTTGTATACTTCGGTTGGGATTTAATTTTATTTACTATAGGATCCCAAGCAGATGGTAGCACCGAGCCATCTTCTCTATTGAAATTCGGATGTTTATTGATTTCAATAGTTTCGTGAATCATCATTTTAAGGAATCGGTGTTCTTTAGCGAGGATTTGTGGTCTATTAAATCTAATGTATTACACTTGGCTGATGGTAAAAACTGACAAATCTTCTTCGGTGGCTTGAAGTATGTTTTAACGGTATGCTACCGTTAAAACATACTTCAAGATGTAGCAAGTCGTGTCACTGATACCTCAATGTATAGCGTTCTCGTAAATATAAGAAATCATTACACTGGTTAATGGTTATAATACAATCGTGCCGGCAGGTATCCCGAGCAGCACCCTGTACAAGATCGCGCGGCGCGAGGGCATCCGGCTGGCGGCGCCGTTCAACGCGGCGCCGACGGCGTGGCGCCGCAGCGACCTGCAGCACGCGCTCGCCGCCATCCGCTGCGGCGCGGCCTCCGTGCAGCGCGCCGCCGCGCAGTTCGGCATCCCCACTGGTGCGTGCGTGTGTGCGCGCTGCATGTGTGTGTGTGTGTGTGTGTGTGTGTGTGTGTGTGTGTACACATCCGCTGCGGCGCCGCCTCCGTGCAGCGCGCCGCCGCGCAGTTCGGCATCCCCACTGGTGCGTGCGTGTGTGCGCGCTGCATGTGTGTGTGTGTGTGTGTGTGTGTGTGTGTGTGTGTACACATCCGCTGCGGCGCCGCCTCCGTGCAGCGCGCCGCCGCGCAGTTCGGCATCCCCACTGGTGCGTGCGTGTGTGCGCGCTGCATGTGTGTGTGTGTGTGTGTGTGTGTGTGTGTGTGTGTGTACACATCCGCTGCGGCGCCGCCTCCGTGCAGCGCGCCGCCGCGCAGTTCGGCATCCCCACTGGTGCGTGCGTGTGTGCGCGCTGCATGTGTGTGTGTGTGTGTGTGTGTGTGTGTGTGTGTGTGTGTGTGTGTACACATCCGCTGCGGCGCCGCCTCCGTGCAGCGCGCCGCCGCGCAGTTCGGCATCCCCACTGGTGCGTGCGTGTGTGCGCGCTGCATGTGTGTGTGTGTGTGTGTGTGTGTGTGTGTGTGTGTACACATCCGCTGCGGCGCCGCCTCCGTGCAGCGCGCCGCCGCGCAGTTCGGCATCCCCGCTGGTGCGTGCGTGTGTGCGCGCTGCATGTGTGTGTGTGTGTGTGTGTGTGTGTGTGTGTGTGTGTGTGTGTGTGTGTGTGTACACATCCGCTGCGGCGCCGCCTCCGTGCAGCGCGCCGCCGCGCAGTTCGGCATCCCCACTGGTGCGTGCGTGTGTGCGCGCTGCATGTGTGTGTGTGTGTGTGTGTGTGTGTGTGTGTGTGTGTGTGTGTACACATCCGCTGCGGCGCCGCCTCCGTGCAGCGCGCCGCCGCGCAGTTCGGCATCCCCACTGGTGCGTGCGTGTGTGCGCGCTGCATGTGTGTGTGTGTGTGTGTGTGTGTGTGTGTGTGTGTGTGTGTGTGTGTGTGTACACATCCGCTGCGGCGCCGCCTCCGTGCAGCGCGCCGCCGCGCAGTTCGGCATCCCCACTGGTGCGTGCGTGTGTGCGCGCTGCATGTGTGTGTGTGTGTGTGTGTGTGTGTGTGTGTGTGTGTGTGTGTGTACACATCCGCTGCGGCGCCGCCTCCGTGCAGCGCGCCGCCGCGCAGTTCGGCATCCCCACTGGTGCGTGCGTGTGTGCGCGCTGCATGTGTGTGTGTGTGTGTGTGTGTGTGTGTGTGTGTGTGTGTGTGTGTGTACACATCCGCTGCGGCGCCGCCTCCGTGCAGCGCGCCGCCGCGCAGTTCGGCATCCCCACTGGTGCGTGCGTGTGTGCGCGCTGCATGTGTGTGTGTGTGTGTGTGTGTGTGTGTGTGTGTGTGTGTGTGTGTGTGTGTGTACACATCCGCTGCGGCGCCGCCTCCGTGCAGCGCGCCGCCGCGCAGTTCGGCATCCCCATTGGTGCGTGCGTGTGTGCGCGCTGCATGTGTGTGTGTGTGTGTGTGTACATCCGCTGCGGCGCCGCCTCCGTGCAGCGCGCCGCCGCGCTGTTCGGCATCCCCACTGGTGCGTGCGTGTGTGTGGTTGCATGTGTGTGTACGTACGCGTGCGTGCGTGTGTGTCTACATCCGTTATGACACAGAGTCCATGAAGCGCGCTGCCGCGCTGTTCGGCAACCTTAATGTTGCGTGGTTATGTGCACGCGCGTGCGTGTGTGTGTGCATGCGTGCGTCCATCCGTATGTCCGAGCGTGCTTCCGTGTTTGCGTGGGTGCGTTCGTTCGGGCGTGTTTGTGACGTATGTGTGAGTGTACGTGCGTGCATATGTGTCTGTATGCAGGTGTAATAAAGTGTAGCGTGACAGTGGGAAGATTTCCTTGAGTAGGAGTAAACATGTTTGGATGTGTGTAGACCGAAAGAGGTATGTGTTTGACATAATATTTTATGCAAGTGCGTTTGTTTTTCTCACCTCTAACCATATAGGATCATTTCAATTATTCTGTTTGAATTTAATTATCTTGATAAATTTAAAGGTACTCTGTATGGAAGATGCAAAAGAGAAGGTATCGAGTTATCTCGATCCAACCCTACGCCTTGGTCGGAAGACGCTATGGGGGAAGCGCTAGAGGCAGTGAGGTTGGTTCTTATTTTACATTATAATATGTATTTTAATAAAACTAGTTTTTACGGATTTTATCATGTACGAGTATGTCTTACGGATATTATCGTGTATAACTTATGTTAATGGGCTGCAACCGAGAACCTTTCTTCTCCATCTGTTACCGATTAGTTACAGCCGGTTCATTGTCATTTTACCTTATTAACGCTTTGGGCTATATCGGTTACTTTGATTGCACTGCAGATGTCGAAACTCTTTTTTTATAGAAAAGGGGGCAAACTAGCATGTGGCTCACCTGATGGTAAGTGACTACCGCCGCCCATGAACAACCGCAACACCAGGAGAATTGCAGATGCGTTGCTTTTAGAAAGGTGTAAGCTGTTTCCTTGAAGGTCCGGAAAAATGGCCGGTGGTAAACAATTCCACAGAGAAGTTGTACGAGGAAGAAAATTCTTAGTTAAGCCTTTGCTTTCGAATATCGTACTTACCACGGGGAGTGCTTTCTTCTCTTTAGAAGAGAGCCCTCCCCGTGGTAAATTCGATAGAAAATGCCTCTGCATTGCTTTGCATTGCTCTGATGTTGCATCCCTCTGGATGCAACATCCCTACGCAGTGCCAGTGTATCGAGCCGATCAGAAAGAACTTGGTCGTTAACGATTCGAACCGCTCTGCGCTGGATGCGGTCAAGTGGAAGGAGCTGGCACTGGGGTGCTCCGGCCCAGAGATGAGAACAGTATTCCATGTGGGGCCGAACTTGCGCTTTGTAATACTGAACTTGAAATACTGTCTCGCTCTGCTGAGCACGCCAAGCTTCTTAGTGGCCAATTTGGGCTTCCCTTCCAAGTGACCACGAAACTGCACACTATTCGATATGTCGACGACAAGTATTCCGATGCTAGCTGAGGCAGCAAGGGGAGTGCCTTGAAACTAAGGAGATACTACAAAGGGCTTCTTTTTAGCGGTAAACGCGCAAACTTGTGTCTTCTGGGGATTGAACTGGACTAGATTTAGTCGTTTCCAGTTCGAGACTTGTTGTGCAAAGTGAAAGTGACGTGTTCAGCAAAGACTCGACTTCAGACACAAGTTTGTCCCGGTACTCGGCGACGTTTTCCCGAGAAATATTGGCACGGCCGGTATATAAGGCATCACCAGTGCTGTTGTCTGTATAGCAATGAATGTGTGAAGCTTGCAACATATCATTGATATGCAGGAGAAACAGCGTTGTTGATAGCACGCAGCCTTGTGGAACATCAGCGTTAATAGGCTCAAAATCAGAGCATGTACCGTCTGCTCCGACCTTGATACTCCGATCAGCAAGGAAACCGGTGATCCGTTTGCACAATTTCTCTGGAAGCCCATAGGACAGAAGCTTTGAAAGAAGATCATTGTGCCAGACCCGATCGAAGGCCTTCGCTATGTCCAAACTAACGGCCAATGCCTCCCCCTTGGACTCTACTGCCTCCGCCCATCTATGAGTCAGGTAGACCAGAAGATCACCAGCTGATCGACCCCGACAAAAACTGTACTGGCGGTCACTAATCATCTGGTGATCCTCAAGGTACCTCATGATCTGGCAAAACTTCGTGTATATACCTCCCCCTAACTTGCTTTTGAGCCTTATATGGCTAGCAGTGAAGAACTAGTCTAGTCTGCCCCTCACCCTAAGCGAGCCTCAGATGAGAGGCCGCCAAAGTGCTTTTACACTGTTCACGCACATAGCATTATACACAAGAGTATTACCTCATTTACAAGGGAGCAAAGTCATACCGTCAAGTCCTTTCCTTTCCTCATTTAATATTCTACATGGTTATAATCGAGGAAACATTTTAGAGATAAGAGCCCTTAGGAACTTCGGATAACGTTCAGAAAACCGTAACAGAACAACCTGCCAGTACTTTTTACATGAAAGTACTGGCAGGTTGTCCTGTGTCCGTGAAGACAAACACGTCACGTCGCTATCGTAGGGACACTGATGGGAATAATGGATCCATTCTTTTAAGTCTGATTCCTAGGGCAACGCGTAAGCTTTCGTCGTCAAGTAATACGCCCAGACAAGATTTTTTTTAATAGAATAAGGGTGACAAACGAACACACAGTCCACCTGATGGTAAGCGGATGCTGTGGCCCATAGACATCTATATTTATCCTCAATTAAGAATCAAAATGCTGATGCGTTGTCACTCCTGAGGACTGAGATGGAGTGCCTCGTTTCCAGTAAAAAGGATCTCCGATTCTCTACAATCGCCATACGAAACAGCAGCATTAAGCTGCTTTTTTACGCTGGTATTCTGTAAGAGCCGACCCATTCGTGCTGCAACCACAATACACGAATGACTCTACACGAAAATAAATTACTAGAGGCGGCTCCTGGCGTAGTGTTTGTCCTCGTGCAATTTATGTTTGTAAACTGCCTCCACGATACAGGAGAAAATCCTAGTTTGGGGGTAACATTTTTTTAAAAAAAACCGGCCAAGTGCGAGTCGGACTCGCGCACTGAGGGTTCCGAACAAATCCGTAGGTATATAAGTTTAAAATTATTGAAAATATTTTTATTAGATGATGTAACTAAAAATTTATGCTTTTCGCAATTTTTCCTTTATCGATGCTATAATACGTTGTTTCGTACCAAATTTTAAGATTCTGAGTTCACGGGAAGTACCCTGTAGGTTTTGATTCCCTTGCGAAAATCGATAATTTTCGGCATAAACGGCTGTATCTTTTGATTGCGTTGGCTTAGAAGTTTAATTTTTTCACAGCTCCAAGGGACAGTAGACTTGAGTATTTCAGCTTGATACCTCCACGCGTTCCTGAGAAAAAGGGTCTTGACAGACAGACAGACAGACAGACGGACAACAATGTGATCCTATAAGGGTTCCGTTTTTTCCTTTTGAGGTACGGAACCCTAAAAAGAGATAGAATTTTTTTATGAGTATGTGTTTTATTCTCAGTATTCTGATTGTTACGGACAGCGAGAGACCCGCCGCCCCGTCGCCCCTTCGTTCCCCGTTACGTCCCGCGCACCCCGCACGCCGGCGCTGATCACGCGATATCGGGCAACCAATCAGCGCGCGTGTGGCGAAAATTGCCATCGGGCGGCTAACCCGACGAAATGAAGCGCTCTTCTCGGAAATATAAGAAGGGCGCCTCGGACGGTCGTTGTTCATTCGGGTTCATTCGGATCATTCAGAAGCATTCAATCGGAAGCGGCAAGGAAGAATCAAGACAGAAGACTCCATACTGAAGACCTCCCTTTTGTATAGTGATTTAGTTAATAGTGCCGAACCCTTGTAAATAGTGAATATAGTATAATTAAAAGTACCATCTTTTCTTCGAGCAGTCCCCTAGTATAGCTAACCTCACACCGCCAGTTAAAATACCAAATACAGTCCACTACTCTCCATCCACTTTATCTTGGTCCATCGTCGCCGGATAGCAGCCAGAAGAAGGAAGAAAGAAGAAAGAAGTAAGAAGAAACAAGAAAGAAGGCAGTTATAGAAGAAGGAACATAATTACAGAAGAGAGAAGATTATTATAGAAGATCTTCAAGGAAGAAAGAAGTTCGTCGACGAAGAGAGAAGATCGTCGGTACTAATTTCTTCCCTGTTTCTTGTTACGCCTACGTCATACGCGTCTATTGTCTGTTTCCAGACAATTTCTTGTTTCTTAACCGCGTTTACGCGGCCAGTGGTCACTCCCTAACGGTGCCAAACTGTGACCATCTGGTAACGCCCTTGTGGCGGGAACGACATCCATACGTGTGTCTTTTTAAAGACTGTACGTACGTCTTTTTGAAGACGACCGGAGGTCGCAACGTGGGACCATGAGGAAAACACGAAGCCAGAAGACACGGAACGATGATGACACGCCGGTAGGAATGCGCATATTCGAAGAAGCACCCGCGTCCCCGTCCGATTATCTCGCGATGGCACAAGCGCCCTCCGCCGCGCCCGCGCTCCAGGCCCCGCCCGCGCCCGCATCTACGCCCGCGCCCGCGCCCCCGCCGCCGCGCCCCGCTATGTCCGTGTCCACGACCGATCGTTTGGGAGAGGTTAGCATTTCCGTGCCGCGTACAGAGACACTCGCCGCGATTATAGAAGATCTTCCGTCTACAGAGATCAGTTCGATAGTACGTACCGTCGCGCCTATAACAGACGTACATAGGCCCGCGCCCCGCGCCCCGTCGGTTCGCTCCGTTCGTTCAGCCCGGTCGACGGCTAGTGCGATAGCTAAATTAAAGCAAATTGAATATAACGCCGCGGAGGAACTAGCTGCAATTAGGAGGAAGCAATTGCAGTTGGAAGAAGATCTTATTAGGAAGAAGTACGCTAGGGACGTCGCGCAACTGCAAGAAGAAACAGATAGGGAAAGTGTCAACGAAGACGAGTTAGTTGAAAATAGGGTACGCGTTGATAGGTGGTTAGAGAACGTAGAGACTGTGCGGGGGGAGTCGCCTTCCCGCCCCTCTCAGCCCGCGCCCCGCATCGAGTTAGAGCAGACCCTACCGAACAGGGTAACCGGTTACGACCACAGGGAAGATGCCCAGGGGAGGACGGAAGTGAATAACGTTCAACCGCGCCGCATAGATTCGGTACAAAGGGAAGATGGAGTCGCCGCAGGAATGAACCAGGTGGATCGTCGTGTACGGGTTACGTCGCCGTCGCGCGTCCAACGCCGCACTCTATCGCCTACACATAGATCGCCACATCGCCACGCGGATCGTAGATCACCGTCGCCGCATAGGTGCGCATAGGACGCCAGCGCCACAGCGCAGGCTAGAGAGAGATAGGGATAGAGATAGGTCGCTTACTCCGCGAGGAAAGGATAGGGGTATAGAGCGACTAGCGGAAGCTCTGGAGAATATGGTCAGAGTTAGGCCCGCTGCCGCGAAGCAGACGCAGGACTTGCCTATTTTTAACGGTTCGGCCGCGGAATGGCTAGCGTTCAAAGCCGCGATGAAAGAATCCACGCGTCTATATGGATTCACAGATACGGAAAACATGGCAAGGTTAAGAAACTG